GCCCCTAGTAGCGTCCTCTTCTCTTTCTGCTACAAATGAAGTACCTAATAGCGATGGCCTGCACCCTCAGAGCGATAGCCTCCAACCTAGAAGCGACAGCCTCTTCATTTTACGTTGCGCTTTTGCAATTTTTCTCGCATGACCTTTAGACTTGGTTGTTTCTTGTGTAGTTGAGATTGCCGCAGGAGGGCACCTGTGGTCCAGGAGATCTCGTCTTCATTCCCAGTGGCTGGTGGCACCGCACTTAGCAGAGCTGAGATGTGATCGACAGGTGAGTTCGTTGCTGAATTGATCTTTTGTCGAATGCTGTGGATGCTGATGATGCTGATGGTGTTGATTGCATCTATTGATATTTATTTTCAATGCTGGAAACGTGAGAATTTAACAGGCACTGTGTGCTGAATCTGGACGATGACACAATTGCCGCCGGCCAGACATGTTGGCAGTTGGGCGGGGCCTAGAGCTGCAGTATTTGTGTCTTCGCTCTGAATACTAAATACTAGATGCACAAAATATTTTCCCTGCTGTGGACCTGCTGAGATTGCTAGCTGCGGAGATGGCCTCCAACCTACAAGCAATGGCCTCCACCCTACTAGCGATGGCCTCCAACGAAGTAGCGATGTAGCGTGGCCTCCACCCTACTAGCGATGGCTGCAGCCAGGTGACCCAAAACTATGCATCCGAGACCCATGTCTCCTCCGTGCGGCGATTCCTCTCAGAGCACCGGGATCAGGCTTGAGTTAGTACTCCGAGCTGGCACCATTGCACCAGTCCTCAGTGGTAAGCAAAGTCGAGCAAACATAATTTGTTTAAGATGCGTTCAAGGTTGGGCTCAAACAAAGTCAGGTCACCTTGTAAATATTTGCTTGATATGGCAAGGCTCTGGTGTTTTTTTGCAGCAGTCATCGCAAGCTCTGCCGAGACGGAACCTTTGGTGAAGCCTTCGCATTGGCCGTCCAACTCCAACGTCACCAGTGCCACATTGGACGCCACGGCCACGGACCAAAGAGCGATCGAAGCGACCGAAGCGAACCGTGCAGTGAGGGGCTTGCGTGTGAAGAACGTCACAGCGAGCAGACAGCTTCACGGACAGAATCGAGGACGTTTCCCTGGTCGTGATCAGACTGGGGGGGGGCAGTGACTGGGGCGATCGCTTTGATGATTGGGGTTGGGGGCATCGACATGGGGTCCGTGGCGAGACCTGCTGTATGTGCTCTCGGCGCGGCCGACGAGGCAAGACCATCCTGTTTGCTGGAGGTGACTATGACCACTACTACGGCTCACGTTCTGCGCACCAGCAGTGTGACAGGGTTTGTGAGCTGCAGTGTGCCCTGCGGAATGGCCACAAGTTTGGATGTTACGAGGAGGATGACCTCAGAAGGATTACCCGCAGGTACAGTGGCCAAGGGAATTTTGTGATTCGACATCAGAAATGGTATGGGAATATTTGCTGATTGCCCCGGCACATTTTTTTGACCCAAATTTGTCCATTTCGTCTGCCCGACTACAGAGGGTGCAGCCGAATGGTCTTTTGTTTTGAGCATGCAGGCAATGGTGCAGTCACGAGATTTGCCGGCCTGCGCTGTAAAGAGGTGTAGAGATGCAAAGTTGCAGACACGAATTCATTGCCGTCTCAGGTGCGAAAAAGAACGAAAGAAGGAAAGAACCACCTGGTTCCGACATGTGAAGAAGCATATGTTTGGGGATATGTTATACAGTCATACAGTGTTCTTAAACGCATGTTGAGACTGTTGGCACTTGTTATGACTTTTTTCCCCTCATGTTTGCACTTGAGACTTACTGTCAGGTGAGCGGCACGGCGGAGCGTGACACCTTGGCAGAACGCTTCGACGAGGTTGGCGCCGTTCTCGAAACTTGGAGGGTCTGGGGGTCCAAAACGGGTTCTTTTCCAGGGCGAGCACAAACAGAAAAATGAATGGGCCCCCAACCTGCTAGCAATGGCCTCCAACCAACTAGTGATGGCCTCCAGCCTAGTAGCGATGGCTTCCACCCTACTAGCGATGG